TATTTCAAAATTATATATCTTCCAGTATCAGTTCTTTCTACTGCAAAGATCCTATATACCCATGCAAACAGGGTTTATAATTATACAGTATAATAAATTTTGGTGTAAATACCAGGTTATTTTACTATATAATTACCTTATATATAATACCCAAAAAGTATATATAGATATGCTTGCTCATTTCTATAAAAATTTAATCTAGATTTTTATTGGTTAATATTGTTATACTAAAATATTAGGATAACTACCCCAGGATTGCCAATAAAATTAACTAAATAATTTTTACTATCATGTGATGATCGGTTCGATTTGGTGTAATGTTATACAATCAGAAATATTCAAAATCAAAATCTGCTAGTATAAACGAACTAGGGTGTCCAGGATTATGATCCAGAATAATATGCGCATAATTTGCAATTTTTACTATATGAAATCGCATAACCTGCTCACTTTCATGCAGTATGTAAACAAAAATTGATTGGTTAAATGTTGATCCTGTGACTGTAGTTACCTGACTTGTTGTTCTTTTTGAAATTTTATTGACTAATAACTCAAAATTTGCATAATTCACATAATTTGCAATCTACCGGATGCATAATTTTGCATTTACCAGATCATAATCCTGAACACCCTAAAACAAACTTAAAAAGTATCACGTGACAGTAAAAATTTTGGCCAGGGATGCAAAACATTCATTTTTGATACTCCTGCACCTACTTTTTTGATACACCCGGATTTACCCTGAAATTCCTATACTTTTTTGATATATGCTTACATGATATATGTAGTATATATAAATGTACGTACGTACATACATATATCAGTAAATTGATCAAAGTAAAAAATAATTACTGTAATATGTGTAACACATGTATTACATATTAAATTATAAACAAATAAATAGTTCGATTAACTTAATTTTGCAAATAACGTGAGTTAATAAAAGCTAAAAACAGACAAAAATCAAAGCAGATATAATAAAGCTTTACCTTTAAAATTACTTTTTTTTCATAAAAATGTTTGAAAACCAAATTATTTATAACAATGATAACTCAGTTTCTGTCTCTTTTGGGCGAGTAGCTGAGTGGTATTTACTACAACATCTATTTTTAAAAAATACGTGTTTAAAGTATCAAAGCTATTTAAAAACATTGCAATTAATTCATGATAAATTAATTATGCTTTGTCGTGTTGATGGTGCAGTTGACTTTACAGAATGGGTGGCTTCTGGAAAGCAAAAATCAACAAACCATATTGATGATATCTTAAAGCTTACTGATAAAGGTCAAGAGTATGTTAACCAAATTCAAGCCGGTCTTAAAAAAGATAAGCTATGTTAGTTATAGATCATGTATTGTGCTAGCGATGGAAAAACATGTCAGCATCAATGTGGTGGTATTGGAGAATGCGTATCTGGATGTTCGAATTTTAATTTGCCTAATAATCTAAGAAATGGAAATGATATGCATTGTTGCTCTGTTCAAGTTTATTCTTTTTCACGATTATCGTATCTTAACTCTAATCACCAACTTTGTATTAAAATTGAAAGAACACACTTTCCTTCTAATATGATAAATACTAGCATTCCACGAATTACAAAGATCAATTTGACGCGTCAAGTTCAGGATCAAATCATTATTAACCATTATGCAGATCATCATACAACGAAAACCATAAAAGGAAAATTACTGTATTCGCTAAATAGTGCTAATGAGAATGATTTAAATGAAGCATTATTAAATAGCAGAGAAGTTTGTGATAATAAGAAGTTAGAGAGGTTTATTATTCGTAAGGATAAGAGATTAAAAGATTATACAGGCCCATAGATAGTTCTTCATTATTTGGTCGAGGAAATTTTAAAACCTAAAGGTTATGTTTTGTACTATCAGCAACCTGACTTATCTAAGCCAGAAAATTCTGCCGAATGTTACTATCAATTAACGGTTACCAATGAATTTTGGTTACGAAATAGAAGGGACTTTGGACAGCTTTGTTTTGGTATTGATGGGAAATATAATCTTAACATCGACCATGCACCAGTTTTAACTATGATTGTTGAAAATAATGCAAAACACGGGACTCCATTAGCATTTGGTATCTTTTTATTATTATTATTTCTTATTTTATTATTATTTTATTTTATTTCTTTAATTTAAAATTAACATTTACTATCATTATTTTATACTTATTAATAATAGAATTAAGTAACAAGAAAAATAATTGGTCAATACGGTTAGTAGTAAATGCGGTTAAGCAAAATATTTCTTGTAGTAAACCTACATGTGAGCATTTGTAGCATTATAAAACCCTTCCAAATAATAAAGGATTTAAACGAATTCGTAACTGTAGTATCAACCAAATATAGAATTCTTACACAATGATAGATAAGCATCAACCTACTAAACTTGGAGCTGAAGAGCTTATACATGGAACTATACTTTGCTGGTTCCATATTATGCAAACGATTGGTAACAACTTAAAAGAATGGAACATTCCGCATTCATTATGGTTAGTAGTTTATTATTATTACTGTTATTATTATTTTATACTTAATATTTACTAAATATAAGATTATAAATTCAACTTAAATATATACATATTAAGATATATAATTGCATTAGAATTCAAAATAGTAGGTCGATGTCGAACTGAGGAAAAGGCATTTAAAATAACAGACAGTTATAAGAAATTCATTACTATGCTTCCACTTACTCAGAAGCAGAAGTCTTTATTAATCAAGGATTTGGACAAAAATTAGATGTGTGATGAATGGAGATTACAGTTTATTGACGCTGGGCAACTTTTAACTATAGACAACACAAGTTTAATGACCACTAATAATTATACAGAAAGGATGAATCATACAATTGAGACTCAATTTTCAGGCAAACAAACAGCTGTAACATTTATTGAACGGCTGTATGGATTAAAGTTATTATGTGAAAATTTAAATAGAGAGGGGACAGAACAAGTAACCTATGAAGCAGGTTTAGTCACATATTTTAATGCACAATTGATTGAACAAGTATGTATTATTTAATTTTTTTTTGGTGTAACAAGATCGTCATGATACATTACATATATATTGTTTTATTTAAATTGGTTATTAATTCATTTAATTTATACGTAAAACTTAAATATAAAATTGTTACAGCAAAATGAATCATTTAAAATGACTCCAGCTACGAATCGACATTTAAATCAGGAAAGATTGTATTTTCTTCTTGGTTGGATTGAAAAATCTGATCATCCTAATTATTATTATGTCAGAAAGTATCGAGAATCAGAAATT